AGCCTCTGGCCTGTACCCCAGTTCTGTATGCACAAATAAATAAATAAATCTTTAAAAAAAAAAATAGGCTTTGAAAAAGGAGTACTAAAATGAGGTATTTCTTAAGCAGTAAGACCCTAGGGGACCCTGTATGGCTGGACATGTGTGCCCTTTATGGTATAGGGTATCTTGTAGGCCTTCACATATGTGTAAAATACATGAGAGTTTAATTAAATTTTATTTATTCATGCATACAAGGACTAGGGCATAGACCAGAGGGGTTGAGAGGACTCCCCAGAGACAGAGTAGGGAGCAGAAGTGGATCTACTAAAACCCACTGGAGAGGGGAGCAGCGGAGAGACAGGAGAGGGCTGTTGCGTCCGATGGGTCACCTTCTGGTCCAGGATCTAATTCATGTTGCAGTGGCTGTGAGAGCTCCGCAGAGCTGACTCAGCCCTGTGCCTCCGGGGGGGCCCTGCCTGTGAAATCGTAATCCGCGGGGCGAGAAGTTACCTGTTTCTGTGCGTTTGCATTGCAGCGCTCCCAAGGAAAGCCAGGTTTCAACAGCCGGTGGCATTTGTGGGAGAGCTTTCTCACCTAAATTTTTGTTTTCTTCTCTCCCTCCTTAGCATTTTCCAAGCCACCATAGTTACCCAGCTGCTTCCTCTCCTGACCCTCCCGTGGAGAAGGTGGAGCAGACTCAGCTCGGACACATAGTGTTGAAACCACAGCAGCCGTGGCGCCTCGCTGAGTGGCCAGTGATGAACCTCACTTGGATCCACGCTAGCCCGATCTGCAACCCCCCTCTCAGCTCCCCGGGGACCATCTCCATCAGCCACGGCCCTTTAGACACTGGAGCCAGCATCGGCGTCGTCCTTTTCCTCCAGCCTGGAGGGCGGCCCTTCACCCACTCAGCCCCGGCCACGCCTGTCCTGCCCCCTGCAGCGTCGCCTGTCACCCCCGCTGGCCCTGATACCCTGTCCGGAGAAGAGTCTCGCAGCCGCAGCTTGCCAGCGACCCTGCCCTCGGACTGGAGCGGCCCCCGGCCTCCCCCTGGCCCACTGGCTGCAGCCAGTGAGGGGACGACAGGGCGCCTGGTGCCGAGGAGAAGCCACCTGCAGGTGCTCCTGCCAGCCGTCTCCTCGAGCCCTGAGCAGCCTCAGGCGGCGGTGTCTAGCTGGTGTAAATAGCGCGCGCTCTCTCTATCTCTTTTTTACTTTTGTGTGCGTTTGTGTTGAGGGAAGAGAAATCCTTTCTGATTAAAACAATTTTATACCTAAACAGTTTGTTGACTGCAGGAAATTGGAAGCCTTCTATTTCAAATAGCACCTCCCTGAGCTGCAGCGAGGGCTGAGGCCCTGCGGGCGGGCACTCCTGGGGTCTGGGTGCCCCTCCGGCCTGCGCCCCGAGACCGCGGGTGTCTCCTGGGACTCCGGGGACAGCTGCGGGGCCCAGAGCTGGTTTGTTTCTCGCTCGGCCCGGAGCTTCCTCTGTCTCCCTGGCTGTCTCCCCGCTGACCAGAGAGCAGGTCCTCTGCCGGGAGCTGTTGGTGCTTGGGGTAGCCACAGTTGTGGACAGTCAGAAGGGGAGTCCTCTGCAACGCTGGCTTCATCCTTGTGCAAACAGCTGCAGCTCAGCGTGGGCGGCAGGGCTCGACAGCGGTGAGCGCGGACACGGAGTGGAGCGGGGTGCGCCGGGCGGCCTGGTCGCCTGGTCGCGCAGCGGCGCTCTGGGGCCCCTTTCCTGGGAGGCCACATGCTCCCGCCTGGCTGAGGGAGGGAGGCAGGCCTCCGTGCTGCCTGTCGGCTCTTTTCTCACAGGTGGGCAGCCAGCGAGAGCCCTGCTGCCTGTCTGGGTTCTCCATGAATAATTTCCTTGTTTTTGGAGCGTGTGACCTTTCAAAGACAACCTTTCCACTTGGGCTTCTGAGGACCTTGCACCCCTGTGCAGTCTGCCCTCTATCTTACACCTTTGAGTTCTTCACCATTTACTTCTTTCTCTGAGTAACAATGACGGATGCCTCGAGAGTGACAGGCCGCCCCTTTGTGGAAACATCTGTTGAGATTCTGTCCTCTCTTGCTTTTCTCCACAGTTCTTGGCAGTAGTCTAGTCCTACCCCTCCTGACTCCTTCCTGCCTCTCTGCTCAACCTCTCACTGCCTCGCTTCCTTTGCTGTCTTTGTACTGCCTCTCCCTGGCTCACCAGTGATCTCAGAATAGCATCATGTAACTTCCACCCCGCCAACAGCGAGATCCCGGGGCCTTTACGAAGAGGATATATTTCATTCTCTCGGTATCATTTGAGACTCCTGGTTCAGCCTACTGAAATCCTCCTTTGGATCCTCTAACAGCCAGGATCTCAGTGCTCCTCTTACCCATCTGGCACACTTCTACCCACTCCACAGTGTGGGTGTTCCCCTAGCTCAGTGCTTGGCCCATTATTCTTCCCTGACTACATTCTTCACTTAAAGGTTTCATCTTTTCTCATGGCTTTAATTCTCTCAATTCAGAAGGCTGTGGAAGCTTCACCCCCAGAGCCAGCCTTTCCCCTGAGATGGCATACCAAATGTAACTCTCCGCTAGGTAGTTTTATTTACAAATTACTAACGCTGAACACTTACTGAAAAGGTCAGCACCTCAGAGCTAAGAGGTACTCTTTGTATCTTATTTCAACCCCTCATTGTTTACCAGGCAAACTTGGGTGGCTTGTTTAAGACAACACAATAGGTCAAACAGAACCTTTTGCATAGAAGAACTGGGGAGTAGAACACAGGTACGTGGTAGGGGGAAGTGAGAGGATTCTCGAGACAGTGGGGAGCAGAACAGGTGGATCTACTGGAATCCACTGCTGAGGGGAGCAGCGGGGAGATAGGAGGGGTCTGTTGCGCCCTGTAGGGCACCTTCCTGGCGAGGAGACTACTCAGAACGCAGTGGTGACAGCTCTGAGACTGAACCCCTAGGCCACCAGGGAGGCCCAGAACGCCTGGTTTCTGATCCATTGTGCTGTTTTCAGTGTTCACTAGTTAAAATATTGTCTTTTGTTTAAAAACATCCTGTCTCTTTACAGTGTCCTTTTCTCTCGGTGCTATTTATAGAACCGACATTTTTCTAAATAATCAGACTTAAACTTGGGGTTGTTCAGTTGTCTTCACTTTGATGTTGGAATGTCATTTAAAATCCCTGTTCTCCTGTCTGTTCCATTGCCACTTCTGTGGTCCACCTGGACTATACCAATAACCTCTCTTCCCTCTAATTCCCCCTTACTGATAGCAGCTTAATTTTCCTACAGCAGCGCTTGCCAGCCTATTCCCTGTTTATCTGCCATTGAGTACTGTGAGCTTTCTTTGTCTGTAAACTCTTGCTGGTGCTGTTCATTTTGCCTTTGTCTCCTGTTTCTGTTAATTAGCTCCCACCCTTCTTACCACGACTAACTCATGTACTTTCCCTTTCTTTGAAAGTATATTTGTATTTTATTCCATTTGATTCCCATGAGTTTTGTGGTTGAGAGCAGGTATTAGTCCCATTTTACAGATGAATAGACTTGACATAACCAGTGAGGAGTCAAAAGAGTTAGTAAATAATTTAGGCTTTTAGACCAGCTGTAATCCAACAAAATTTTGTTTACAAAAACAGAGGTGGAGAGCCTCTGTGGTGAGTGGAGCCTCAGCACTATCAAGCTATCTCCAGTCACTGCAGCATGAGTTCGATCCCCCGCCAGGGAGCTGAACCATGTGGTGCAGACCTCTCCTGTCTCCCCACTGCTCCCCTCAGCAGTGTATTTCAGTAGATGTACCTGTTCTGCTCCCCACTCTGTCTCTGGTGAGTCCTCTCACCTCTCCATACCTCTCACCTCTGACCTATACCCCAGTTCTTGCATGCATAAATAAATAAATTTCAAAAAACACACAGGTGGAACTGGATTTGACCTGCAATTTGCATACTACTGGCTAAGTAACAAGGTCATATGCCTGATGACTATAGAATTTGGATAGAACCCAAGTCTCCTGACTTCTAATCCAGTGCATTTCCACTTTATTGTGCTGTTGCCTATACAATTTATTTTGCACATATATGCTACCTTGTTTTATTATCTTTTATGTCTACGACTATCTTCTGGTGATGCACAAAGCTCTGGACTGTCACAACAGTACCTAACACAGAGTAGGTATTCAATAAAAACTTACTGATAAGAACAATGCTGTCCCAGTCTAGCCCTGGTGTATTGAACCTGGTGTATTCTAAACTGGCTCCACTGTTTGTGAACTCATTAACATGATCCACGAGCATGCATCTGTGTGTCAGTTTTAGGGGACTACTCAAAGAACCGTATTACCGGACGGGTGGGGGGAGTAAAAAGAACTGCATACAGGAGTAACTACGTAGACCGGTCTTCTTTTGAGTCGTTTATCAGTAGCCATATGAACTGTAAATCAGCATAAACAGATATACAGAAGTAACGTACAAAGGACTGTCTCCACAGTGAGAAAGAAATGAGAAAAAATTATTTCTACAGGTCCCACTAGTAAGCAAAAGGACAGAAGCTAAACTATGTCTTCGAGTCTAAATCCTGCTGATGATTTTCAATTTTCTTTTTACTGATATCACTTTACTTAGGGAAATGGCTTGCAAGGTGACATTACAGGAAACTCACAGTAGTTCATTTCATTTCTTTTCCTTAGTTTTTCGGCAGAGCAAGGAGATGAAGCGGCTTTTCACCCAGAAAGCGGATCTTACAGAATCCAGGTCTTTCTGCCGAGCGCAACGGGACAGATGCTCGGGGAGTTTCGCAAACTTACGTCATTTTCCTTCCAGAAAAAAGAAAAAAAAGCTTAAGTAGCTACTGAAGGTGCAGTGCGGTTTAGGGGTACGGAGTCGGGCTGACCTCCGGCGGGGGCGCCCAGGCAGGCAGTGGCCGGCGGCCCCGCAGAGCGCGCCGACC